GCTGAGAAGATTGTCTTTAATTCTTGTTAATTACTAAGACCACTAAAACATATAAGATTTGTAATGTCACCAGTCACACACCGGCCAGTACAGTGTTGGTCTCTTGTCTATTTCAATCTTTCACTGAAAGTTGATTGAAATGAAAAAGAGACCACTTTGAAATGGAAGCACTCCACACCCTTCTGTTTTTTTTCCTTCTCCCGAAAGGTGTAACAAAAAGTGGAGTGCTTGTTTGAGGCACTCCACACTTGTTTTATATATTAATTAATATATATACTTAATTAAGTGCAATGTTCATCATATTTTATCAATGTCTTCAACCTATATGGTTTAAGCCCTTCTCACTCTGTGAGGGAATTTTTAAATGGAAAACTACACTTAATAGATTTAAGAGTCTTAAATAACAAATTGATCTATTTTTAAATTTAATTTTTTAATTTGGTCAAGTTAGGTAAAATAATTACATATGTATAAATAATTATTATTTATGTCCAAAAGACCCTCCAAACTCTTATTTCAAAATACCAAAATATCCTTCCTAAATCAAATAATTCTTTCATTCATGAAATTTAGAAAAACAAGATTTTTGAGTTTCAACTTGGGATTTTTACACATGGAGTATATATTACCAAAATAAATAAAATAAAAAATATCATATATATATGTGTGTGTGTGTGCGCGCGCGCGCACAAAAAACTTTAACCTAATCTATATTGATTCAAACCTGCAAATGTCGATTTAGAAATATACAAAAAATTTAGTAAAAATTTATTATGTATAGAATTTTTTATTTCGGTAAGTGAAAATTCATCCTATATATATATATATATATATATATATATATATATATATATATATATTCATAGGAAAGTTTTTACATTTGCAGTTTTATATTGGTATGAATTAGAAGATATAGTTAAAATTATACATACATATCTTCTAATTTTAACTATATCTTCTAATTCATACCAATATAAAACTGCAAATGTAAAAACTTTCCTATATATATATATATAGTACACACGCACGCTAGAGGGAGATCATGAAAAAACTAAATGGTTGCTTCAGTAAATGGTACACCAGCAATCATTTTTTATTTATTTATAAAACAAGTGTAATTAATTGAGCCAAAAAATTGATGATTATCTCAAAGCATGCACCACAATAAAGACGATTTATATATTCTTGAGTTTAATTATATATATTTTTTTGGAGACTAACCTTTGATTGCCCCATTTTTTACTATATTGAATATTTTTTTATTATTTGTATAAGTTCTCATCGGTATATATATGAAAGTTGCCGCAATATGGTTCAAAGTTAAATGAAAGATATTAAAGTACTTGATTTTAGGAGAATAATTTTTAGTACTTTGGAATAAGTGTTTGGAGGACATTTTGGACCTAAACAATAGTTATTAATGCATGTATAATTATTTTGCTTAATTCAACCAAAGTAAAAAATGAACTTTTAAAATAGACCATTTTGTTATTTAAGGCTCCTAACACTATGTAAGTGTAGTTTTTCCTTTTTAAATTTTGACTATTTAAGAATTTCGATAGAGACAAAAATATATAATAAATGTGTGTTTACCTCAACAGTACAATTTTGCACGGATGTATTCTCCCCCGCCTTCGCAATGGTTTACAAACTCCTGTCTTGTTTTCACCCAAAACCGCTTAAACGAGGTCTTTCAACCCTATCGTCACTTCCGTTTACCCTCGCGGGAACCCACCCTGCCCGGTTTAGTTTCAAAAAAAAAAATTAATTTTTTTCCCTCAAATACAATTATATAACCATTGAAAAATTTCATAAAAATGGATAATTAATAATTTAATATAAAATTTAAAGATATGAGCGTCCTTAGAGTTATGTGGTTGAGTGAATATGAGACCTAGAGTTTCTACAGTTAATTATATATACTAATAAAATAAAAATAATTTAATAATTTACCTACCTAAATGAACGAGTTGTAATAATCTCTCCCATCTAAAACCCGCGTGAATTTTCTTTAATAAAAATTATTTGCGTCCAAATAAACTAAAGCAATCCCACAAAGTCACTACTATATACTAGGCGAGCGTACCCGTCCCGTAGAAAAAAATTGCCATCTGCTAGTTTGTCCCTCCATCAATTTAGAAATATAAATTGAAAAAAAAAAAAGAAACAGAAAAAGAAAAAAAAAGGGCAAGTGCCTGGCCCAGGTTCGAGTATCTTCTCCCTCCTTTATTATCGCGATTAAAATTGGTGTTGAGGTGTGGGGCCATTGATAACTTTCCTTGGATCCGGAGGCAAGTTAGTACAGATGCATCCAGAAATTAAATGAATATGGTCCATGCATAATATGAAAAGTAATTATATATATACTGTATCTATTGGTGGGGAGGGATTATACACGTCTGCTAATAAAGTCCTTCACGCGGAAGGAAGAAGTTTCTTATTAAAAAGTCATTTATCGCGCATCGTGTCAATGATGCAATACGAAGAACATTAAACACTAAAGAAAACGAGAAGCGTGTGTGTGTGTATATAATGCTATATATATATATACTCACACATACATATGTATATGTAATATAGACATCACTGCACACGAAACTTCAGAAATGATAGTTGAATGTCCGCCGGCAGTTGCGTTGGTCTTGTTAAACCACCTTCGATTAGAAGTACTGCACACTTCCAAATTCAACAAAACTTTGCTACCAAAATTCCAAGTTCCCTCTAACAACCCACAACCACCCCATTGTTGTTGAATGTTGACAGATAAAACTAGTTGGTGTGTATTGTTTGATTTATATATATATATATATATATATATATATATATATATATATATATATATTTTAAGTTCAAAAAAATGCATGCATTCACAATACATTCTCTAATAGAAATTGAGCACTCAATTTCAAGAGTATTGTTCATACTATTTGAATCAATACCTACTGATGATATCAGGGACGGATTCAGTAAATTTTTTTATAATTTGAGAGGGGGCAACACTAGAATTTCATATGTACAATTACAATGGAAATTTTCCTAGTATTCAATGTTTAAAAAATAATAATAATAAATCAAAAAGGCAAGCCTATGTAAGTCCGTCCCTGGTTGATATGTACTCTTGACAAACAAACACGTTCCTTCAAGTGTGAAATTTCGTTTGGTCCAATTTCAAAATCATTATAATTGATACGACATTGATAATCATTTATTTTAAAGACTAAAATTTTTAGAGACGGTGTAATTCAGCGGCGGAGTAAAAAATTTAGTTCATAAGGACCATCTATTAACAATAATATGATAAATAAATAAATTAAACCAAAATAATAAATAGCAAATGAGTGATGTTTTCTAAATTTTAATTCTAAAAATTTTTGCAAGATCTGCTAGATGGAAAGAAAAAAAAAAAACATGGGTCGTTTTTTAATTTTAAGATTTTTGTTAGACAAATAAGTTAGAAAATGGGAAATATTTTTAAAATTTGAAAGTTTTTCTTAACCTCTTTTGTGAATATTTTAGGAGTTCAGTGAGAACACTTTCATAATTATAAAAAATTCATAGATAAAAATTATAAATAATAAAAAAATTCAGTGAGATATAATATCACCCAACCCAACCATGTACAAATCATCAAATACCTCATAAGGAAGCTGCGGTAAAATGGAACTCCTGTAGTGTGAAAAGAGAAGTTTCTGTGTCCGCGAACCGCGTACATGTTTTTTAGTAGTGTACTACAAGTCACTGAAGAATATTATGCAGTTTTACACTACCGCTTAACTTGTTTTCCACGGTCCTGTCTCGTGCAAAGCATTCTCTTTTCCTTCCTTTTTTAAGTTCCAGTCTTGTACCACAAGTTGGGGGTTTTCCACACACACACACAATACAGTACAATAGTACACAAGAAAAATCCTTATTTATCCCGAAAATTAAGCTTTGAAATTTCCAACAACCTTATCCAATTTGTTTTAGTGCTAATATATGTATGATATTAACATGCCCTCTATATGTGAATGAGGGGTGTGCATTAGAATTATTTTTCAAAACAACTTGGATAATGATTTGGAGTTCTAGAGTTGGATAACTTTTGACTGATTTACGTGAGTGATGTCATTAATAATCAAAATTACTATTGGAATAATGATTTATGATAAAGTAATTGAGGAATATAAATTAAAAAGATCTGAGACAAAAGGTGAGATATGTTTTAGTGAGATTATTGAGTAAGTAAAATCTTTATTATTAACATGAATTTTAAATCCTCCTAACGATTTTAACCCCTATTATTTAAAATATATTAATATAAGACTCAAATCAATCCATTAATATTGACGTCTAAAATTAAAATATTAAACCTAGATCTAAACTACTCGCACTCCATAATTGGCTTGAATTTTGATTAATATTATTCCTAACAATCTTCACCTTATTAATTATTTAAAATCCTATCTACATCAACCCATCTTAGACGTCTAGAAACTTGAAATTTTGAATCTAGATCTAAACTATACTACTAGCTCCATAAGGACTGTTTGATGAATGATCAATGGTAGTTCTTGTTACCATAATTCGACCATTTTATTTAAAAAAATATATATTTATTTATTTAATAATTACAATTTAATTTAAAAGATCGAATATGAAAATGGCAGCTTCTTTTAAACGCCATTTGAAACTCACTAGGAAAAGTATAATACTAATTAGTTAATGGTGTTAGTAGTATTATCTACGTAGTGGGGTTCAAAACCTTCCAGAACACTGAACATTCTAGGAAAGACTCGCTCCGGGGCTCGCCAGTAACGACTCGTCGCGTGTCTACTAAGCCCACTCAGTCACGCTTACGCGGTTCCATGACGGCTCGCGAATTCACTCACGTACCCCGAACAGTCGCTCCAGTATCCAACAAGAAACCAAGGGCATTCTCGTCAATTCAGATGCGGTCAACTAAAGAAGTCTCACTAGCCGACTTCAAAACGTACAAGTTAAAACCTATAAATACACCACCACCATTGGGTCTAAAGTTCCATCCAGTCTAAACTTTCTTTTCTTTCTTACTACTCTCTCTAGTTCTGTACTACTCCCGAAAGCCAAAAAAAAACACGTCCTCTTTCACATTACAAAAAAACCCAACAAAAACCCTAAAACCCTAGCTATGGTGTTTCTAGGCATGAGGAAAAACAGAGAAGGAGAACTCGACAACATAACCAACATGAACATGGCCAATTGCTTGATGCTCCTCTCTCGCACCAACAGCAACGACTTCTTGGAGAAGGCCGGAGACGTCCCGAGCCGGGTTTTCGAGTGCAAGACGTGCAACCGGCAGTTCCCGTCCTTCCAAGCGCTCGGTGGGCACCGGGCCAGCCACAAGAAGCCGAGACTCACCGGAGGAGAGTCGAATACCGAGAATCAATCGCCGGCTAAGCCCAAAACCCACGAGTGCTCGATTTGTGGTCAGGAGTTCGCGATAGGGCAAGCTCTGGGAGGACATATGAGGAGGCATAGAGCCGCGGTGCAGGAGAACCAAGCTCCTCCTCCTCCTCCTCCTCCTCCTCCTTTGTCTTTGTTTCCTACTGATGAAGAAATACAAGAAGAAGCAAAAAAGAAGGCTAAAGCTTTATCTGCTTTGTCTTTGTTTCCTACACAACAATTACCAGTTTTGAATAGATCAAACAGCAAGAGGGTTCTGTGTTTGGATTTGGATTTGAGTTTGAATTTGGCACCTCCACAGAGCAAAATGGCTTTTTAGAGTTTTTATTTTTTTGTATTGAGATCTGGATTCAGATTTATTTATTTGTCTATAGGCATAATAATTTTTTTTTTTTTTATTTTTTTATTTATGTATATTAATTTATATAATAATACTTAAGTTTGGACTTTTTATTTACAGAAAAGATTAGCCCATTAATTTGATTCACAACAACTAAGTAAAGTAATAATATTTATTTATTTTTTCTTCACTAGTAAGTAAAGTGTTCACAATTTTTATGGTAATTACCGGTTACTGATTCCGGCGGTTTATATCTCCAAGCAAATAAAATTATATTAAAATAAAAATTAGCATATATATATATATATATATATATATATATATATATATATATTTCTTGGGGAGGAATAAATTACAAGATAGATAGATAGATATATGCCCTTTCAACGACGATGTACAGTGAGTTCACATGAAGAAGAAGATATTTAGTAATTGTCTTTTTTCTAATTGGAAAGGAGTTGGTTGAATGCATGATGTTTTTTCTTCAATCCAAAGCTCAATCTATTAAAAAGTAGCCTATCGAGTCTCATCTAATCCACATTCATCAATTGGCCGGCAAGATTGGGTTTTTGATAATTACTTTTTTCTTCTTCTTTCATATCAATCCACCAAAATTTGTTCATGACTACAAGTGAGTAAGGTGTGGCCTTCAAGTGAGTAAGGCGTGGTTCTTACATAGGCCTTCCAAAAATGTTCTAAATGTTAGGGTGCACATGGTACCATTGCAAGGCAATAAACAAATGTTAGGGGTGGCAATCTAAACAAAGTCATATTCATGTTAAATTTTAGATTTAGTATTTTCTTGGGAGGCATATTCGTATTTCATTTTTCTCCAATTACACTTCATTTACTTTTTTTTATTTAAAGAAAATGACAAGAAGATTTTTGAATTCATTCCTCCTCTCAAAGAAAATAATTTATTCCATACAATAATTTTATTTTTGGCATTCATTCCATAATGACTTTTTTGTTTGTTTAGTTGTGCAATCGAAAGACATATTTATTTAACAAAATTAACTTTTTTTTTCAGACCTGTCAAAATAGGTATTTTTTTTTTTTCAAAAGAGATAATTTTTTAAAATCATCTTCTTTTCATATATATTTTTTTTTAAAAAAAATATTTTGGGATCTTGACAAAAGAGATAATTTTTTTAATGGTTATTTTTTATTTTTTGGGTCCGGTCAAAAGATACAATTTATTCAACATAATTTTTTTTTTTTTTTTTTGGGTTGCTTAAAAAAAATATTCAAAATGTTTTTATTTATATTTTTTTTGGTATTATTAAAAGAGACCTAAAATATTAAAGATTAGAGATAAGGAGAGGAATCTAAAAGAGTTGTTGTGTCATTTAAAAAGTAATAATTATTTTACTTGTAAAGTTAGGATATATTTCTTATTTTATTTTCTTATAAATTTTAGAGAAAATTTTAAATTTATTATTATTATTATTATTATTATTATTATTATTGCTATTAAGTGTCTTTATGTTATTAGTTTTCTTTATAGTTTTAGGGTTTTGTTTATTATATAAATATATGTATTGCAATCAATTTCAATTTTTGGATTCAATGTAAACCCTCCACTACTTCAGAATTCAAAGGTTCTAGGTGTGACATAAGAAAATGTATCTATCTAATTATTCATGTATGTAAATAAGTTCTCTTTACTTTAGTAAAAGAAAGGTTAATTAGTATAAGATAATTAAACTAATAGTGAAATAAATTTTGAAACACGTAACTATGATTTTTCGAGTCTCATAAACTCATATCTCTCAACTCACAATCGCGAAGAATTCGCAAATTGTAGTAGTCATTGCCTCACTCAATTGAAATAGACATACTGATAGTCAGTCTCTGTCTGTATATGTGTGCGCGTGCGCGTGCGCGTGCGTGTGTTTTGTCTTGGTTGCTCAGCGGTTTTTTGAATTTTGTTCTGGATCCTTTTCAGAGTCGTCTCAAAGCTGAAGCTGTGTGTTGTTAATTCATATTGGGCCTTTTGTTGGGCTGTACTTTCGTAGGCCCAATTCCTCTTGATGTGGGTTAGGCCTTTGGGCCGTTTGTTTTTCTTGGTTCCGTCGCCCCTTGGACAAGTTCTGATTAATACAAATTTTTGCACCCAAAAATAAATGTTGTCTTATCAAACATGTTAACGAGTGGGATTCTCAGAACTTATCTTTCCAAGTCCAAGGGAATTGTCTATTAGGGTGGGAAACTATTTTTTTTAGGTGTACTAATAATAGTAATTATTATTATTATTATTTGATTGACATAAAATTAGGTATTGTAAATTTTTTATTATTATTTTTTTTTAGGGTGAGCTTAATCCGCCAGTGAGTGCATGCTAGTTAAAATGTAGTTAGGCTAGCGTTGCTATCAATGCTCTAAATTAGATTTGGTTTTTGAAAAGTGAACAATTAAGATATATAGAATGAACTGTTTAATTCTTTATTATATTTTTCTAAATGAGCCTTTTATTTATCAAAAAAAAAAAATGAGCCTTTTATAACACCTTGAGATAATCAATGTTGCAACAATAATCTTCTTAGGTGATTATTTTTAAATTTTTGATTGTTTTTAAGCCACCGTTTTGTTTGAAATTGAAGGATGAAACCTGAAAATAGAGCTGATTTTTGGGATCAGAAAATCAAGTAATGGGAATCAGAGGATTGTAATCTTCCATGCTTGTAATTTCTTAAAATCAACTTCAAATGTTTTCTCCATATGATTGTAATTAATTGTTTGACGTATCATCTATTTTTATCAATAAAATGTGCTTGTGAGGCTTAGATCTCGTGAATTGAGGAAGTGGAATGCCTCTACTCAAATCACATAGTTTGTAAGCCTCTTAATCAAAATTTCATGATAGAGTAAAAATAAAAAATAATGAATTTTTTTTAATGAGAAAAGTAACTCATGTTTATTTCTATTTATGGTGCATCCTGTTATATGAAATTGGTAAAATTTGAAAAAATTTTAGTTCAATTTTCTTAATTAAGTATCCAATTTGAACTATATTAGGGAATACTCAACTGAGCCCCTCATATGGGCCCGTCTCGTTTGAATTCATTTCCAACCAAGGACAAGCCTCGGGGTCTTAATCTTTATTCTTCAGTATCCAATGTTTTGAAGGTGAAAAGTGCAGTTGAGATGTTGGAGGTGTTGGCTGCTGAAGCCTGAAGTGCATGGACTGCTTAATAAATAAAAATGACAAATTTACCTTTCAGAAGTACAAGGGGTGGAGCTAGGATTTGAAAGTAGAGGGGGTTAAAGAAAAAAATTTAAGCAGAGGATTTACTGGAAAAAAAAAAAAAAAAAAAAAAAAAATTCAAGCAGAGAAGATGATTTACCAAGAAAAAAATTTATTAGTTCTTTTGAAAAATTCAAATATGAAGAAACCCAGATCCAACACAAAACAATCAAAATTTAACCTAAAGTAAAGAAACCAGTATCCAAAATTTTCAGACAATAATCCAAAAAAAAAAAAAACCAATTACCAAATATCATTATAAACAAAATGTTGAAATTATTTTTATTTTAAATCTCCACTAAGATTAAAAAAGTGAAAAAAAACATTGTTGAAGAAAAAAGAAAAGGATTAAAAACTGAAAAGGGATTTTTTTTTTTTTTTTTTTTTTTTTTTTTTTTTTTTTTGGGGTTGAAATTACGCTGAATAGTGGTATTCTTCATGGATCAGCTTTGGATTGCTGGACTAGTGGGCTGGGCCAATTATCATGGATTGGAAACTTTGGCTAGACTATAGCTGATATGACATACTAGTAGTAATTTTCTTTTTCTTTTTTTTGGACCTGGGCCACGAAAGGCTCCGCCCCTGAGAAGTATGGTGTGCTGCGTTCCTTCCTTTGACAAAGAACGAGTACTAGGTCTGTTTTCTAGTAATAGAGGGCTTAATGGAAGGAATTTGTTCTTGTATTTACCTATTTTGAATAAGGAAAGAGAAGAAACTGTAAGGGTTAGTTTGGTTAGCGTGAACTAGTAAGAAAGGATAAGAAATACAAAATATTTAAATTTTTTAATAGTTTGGTGAGTGTAAAAAGAAAAAATTTTAGAAAAGTAATATTCTCCCACCTAGTTGATTTTTCTAAAAACGTTTCCTCCAAAAAGCATGGGTTTGATTTCCTATTATGTCCTTATTAATTGTTTATTCATTCATCTATTTCTTCATTGATATATTAGAATTTTGTTATTAGGTTACAGTTTTATGATTCTTAAAATTAGAACTCTTATAAAATCATTTTATTTTCACTTTCTTGCCATTCAAATTAATGAAATAATATTTTCTCACAATTTTCTTTTAAAAAAATTCATACTAACCAAATGCATAATAGAAACTAAATTTTCTTTACCTTTACTTCACTTTCTTTTCCTTTCACTTTCCACCATCAAATTCTGGCTACCCAAACAGACCTTAAAGAAAAATAAATATAATATTACATATAGAGTGAAACCAGCCTCAAGATACATAGATGGTTTACTTCGAGGAAAACCAACCTCTAAGTATAACAGAGTGCTAGAGTAGTTTGCGGAGTCTGTGTCTGTTTTTGTAAGACAATTATGACTGAAGTGACATGGTTTCTAATCATTTTTGGAGTTTGACATTGAACTCGCGTGCTTCTGATTCATGGAGCCATGTCTTAGATCAGGAAAAATGACTAAAATAATTCAGTACAATTATCGCAGGATTTGATGTTGAAAACACACTTTCTTCAAGGGCTTTACGGATTTAATGATGTGGTTTGCCTTTGGTACGTCTTCCTTCAATGAACTTGAAAACTAGAACCAATTTTAGCATATTCGTATACATTTTGATTAAGTTCAATTGATTTTGATTAAGAACTTCATTGGATCTTTACAGCAAACATATATGAGCTGCCTCTGCATCTCTTGAACCATGATAAATCAAGCTGGATTTCTGGCATTGTTCTTAGCATATTGTTCTTCCAAGAAGCTAAATAAGCTCTGGTATTGGAAGTTTGATGTAATCGATCTTAAGATATTATGGTTAACTTCTACGAAGATGCAAAGATTAAACCTCAAATTTTCAGTCTCTCCCTTTTCTTTCCCTTTTAATTTATATTTTATACTAGCCTAGTTTGAAGAATCCTT